TTCAAAGACCATTCCAAACACCGGCAATTCAGCACCACCCCACTTCCGTCAGTGAGAATGCAGGGCACGCGCCAGGTGTACCCGAGGCCTCTGTTTCTCCAGGCTGGTGGGACACCACAAGGATTCGTCTCCGTCTGCTGGGACCTCTGCCCCAAGCTTCTGGGGAAACAGGGAATTGGGCTTGACAAGAGCAGCAGCTCCGTGAGCCTCTGCTCAGATTCCCAACTCGGAACGCCCAGCACCCTGATCGCTTCTTCACCGCAGGAAGGGCCAAAGAGAATACAAAAGCTTTCCCTCTAAACTCAAAGAACAAACAAACAAGTTTAACACAGAACATAATAAAAGAATCAGCCCACAGACAATGCACTGGAACCCCAATTTTCCTGAACATGAACCAGTCCCGTGGTGACTGAAGTCTGTAAGTCAAGGCAAGAATGCCAGAGGTGAAAGCGGCCGGCCACGCGTGTGCCCTGCAGAATCCTCAACAGTGTTCTCCATTCTCTGAAGCCGAGTCGCTATTTCCAGTAAGTTAAAATGTTTCTATTAAGAAGAAAACAAAACAAAAATAAAAACCACTCCAGAGAAAGGGTCAAGGGAGGAAGACGGTAGAAAGTCAAGCCGCTGACCGCCGGCGGATCACAAAGAGTCCGCGATGGAGCTGGCCCAAGTAGATCCTCATCTTTGTGCTGTCGCTCGTCTTCCTCACCCAGATCTGCACGGGGAGAAGACAGGGGACAGGTGACGGCCAGGAAACACTGAGGACCTCCGCATCACCAGCACGGGCCAGGGGTAGGCAGAAAACGCCCGTCTGAATGACCACCTCGCGTGACTCACCTCAACTGGAAAGTTCGCCCGAAGCACCCCCACCACCCTTGGCCGTCCTGCACCGTGGTACAGGGAAAGAGCGAGGAGGCACCAGCTCTCTCTCTCACAGAAAATGGACACATGGTCATCCTGGACTTGGGTTCTGCCTTATCCGTAAGTACTCGCGCTTGGATTTGGATTGTAATGTGATCAACATCCAAAATTCATATATTCATGGACATACACCTTCAAGCAAACACAGAACTAGTTTCCTCGTCCCAAGGGCCTTCCGTACCATAGAGCCTCTCAAGGCTCCAGTTCCCGGACAAGGCACTTAATGGCAGAAGCAGCAGCAAAAGAACCACCACCAATCTGGGTCATGAGAGGGTTGAGCAAAGTTCAAGACAGCCCTTCCCCCCTCTTCAGACTCCTTGCCCACAGATGGCACCTGCTTCCTTCACAGGGCGGAGATGTTCTCTGGAACTGAGTGGAGTCTGCCAGTGCTGGCCACCGCACTCAGTGAGGATATCCCGCCAGCCATGAGTGGGAAGACATGCTCCTAGCCTGGCCCCCGCACACCTGACAGCCAGGGTTTGCCTGGGCTCTTCCTGTGGGCCAGACCCTGAGCTCAGAGAAGCCCTGAGGGAAGTGCTACCATCGGCCCCTCTCACAAAAAAGGACAGAGAGGCTCAGCCAGGTCCAGGCCCTTGTCCAGAGTGAACCTTGGAGCTGCCGTCCAAGGCCCCTGCTCTTCTCCAGGAAACCAGCCCGTCTCTCCGTACCCCGCAGTCCACCTCCCACCCAACATACAAATATAATCTTACAGCTGGATCTCCTCCCTCCAAGACCCTTTTTCAGGTCATAAGAAAGCTTATTCTAATGACTGTTTAGTGACAGGCTTTCTAATACATAAGCTAGTTCACCATTTTTTAAGGTCGATGACCTCATACAAAGCGGCGCCTCACAGGGGTGTGGCAGGGTCATGTTCAGCTGCAGAGCCTGGCCGAAGTCAAGCCATGCAGCGGCCCGGTGCTTCCAGTGCCTCTCAGGACACGACCTGAAAAACGAGCTGGGGCCTTCCTCCAGCAGGAGAAGCATCGCACCAGCCCCAGGCTCACACACTGCCAAAGCCCCGAGGTGACTTCCCTCCAGGAGCTGTGTCTCACTTGGTGTCACTGCTTTCTTGTCAGACCGCTCTGACACTCTGTTATGTCAAGAAATGACAACCTCCAACAGAGGGAGGAAAAAAATCTTAACTAGCGCTCTTATTTTCCTGAAAAATCCTGAGGCGTCACAAAGGAAAATGATGCCCTGGCTTGGAGTGGAGCTCAGGTATCAAGCGCCCATATGACACTGCAGAATCCAACCCCCTCGTGGCTGGAGGCCCATGGTGAGAGCCGACTCTGGCTTTCACTTGGCAAGAGGTAACTCATGGCATTGGGCCCCAGGGAAGTGACATTCATGTGTTTGGATGGCTCACCCTACTCGCCAAGTGCATAATCATTATGCAGACTAGTCACTTTGGGGGGCAGTTCTGAATTCAGGAAGCTGGGAGAGCAGAGGTTGACTGTGCACTGGCACAGATAAGCTACAAAGGGGAGACACGTAAAATCAATGTCTTGGCCGACATTTGTGCACTGATAAAAAGATCGAGGCAACACAGCGATTACACTTTCAAACTTCTTTTAAAATTATTAAGACAAGGTACACATTTCTGGCATTCTCCTAACAAAGGGCTAGCCGGGGGACTTGGAGGGCAGCCATGTCCTCCTCCCTCCAAGGTGGCTCTCTGGCTCACCTTAGAACCGCTCCACTCTGGAGGTAGCTTGTGGCATGCCTAAGGGTCCGGGCCTGGGCAGTGGCTATTCAGGGGGACAAGAGGACAGGCAGGGTACAAGGACGACAAGCAGAGGCCACGAAGGCACCTAGTCAAAAGTCATCCGTCCATAACCCCGAAGGCCAATTCCAGCCCTTGGTTTTGGTCATTCACTCAAAAAACACTCAGGAAGCACTTGCTGTGTCCAGTGACTACGCTGGATGTAGAGCATCGACTGTAAACATGGCTACCACAGAGCTGCAAAACACAGTGAGGCCGAGGAACTCTGAAGGGTCACACCCTGGCAAAGGCTGACCAAGGCCATCTTTACAGCGTGGTCATGGATCCCAGAGGGCGCTGAACACGGCCTGGCCAAGCCAAGAAGGCAGTGGTGATTGGCATGAGCAAGGCAGACCCTAGGTTAGGCATCTCCCAAGTGCCCTACTGAGTCCTCAAAGCCAATATATTGGTATCTATGAAAGATCTAAAGCAACAGCAGCAAACCAGTGATGGAGTGTGAGCCTCCCCCTAGCTCCCTCCTCAGTGGATGGTCACTGGAAACAAAGCCAGGCTTTTCCTGAGTTTACCTCAGTGGTTCCCCAAATCAGTCCCCGTACGGAGAGCTCATCACCACCACCAGCACACACAACCCACCCAGCCTGCAGTCAGACCGTGGAAGAGATGCTCAAGAGCGATTCTGACCATGTGCAAGTGAGTGCCAGTCCTGCCTGACAACTGCAGGAAGGAAAGTATGACCTCGCTGTGCCCTATCAGAGGCATTTTCAGGTTGACCCTCATTCAAAACACTTCACAGAGCCACTTTTAGTAGAGAAGGTTACCCTACCTCATTGGTCCCGACAGAACTGATCACACAGCTGAGTTTCTGGTTGTCCTTTGATTCCAGGTAGATGGCTTGGCTCTTGTGGTACCTGCACCAAAACAAGACATACAGTTAAAACCAAAACCAAGAGTGCACAACTCTTTTTAACCACTGGATTGTATGGTATGTGAATTACATGACAGGAAAACAGTAAAGTAATTAGCACAAATAACTAAAAAACGAAACCACTGCTGGAGAGCCAGGAAAACCACCCTGAATGGAGTGGACCAGAGAGAGTGCTCTCTTCCGTCCCTGCATCTCCCTGTGCCTGCAGCGCAGCACCACCTCCGACTTCACAAAGCTCAGGGACAAGGCCAGGGACGAGAGAAAAGAGGCCAGGGCCAAAGGCCAAATGGGACAGTGACAGCTGCCACAGGGGCAGCAGCAGCTGCTGGGTTACAGGACTGGAAAGAGTAGCTGAGCTGTGGCTGGCAGCACTGGCCTGGGCCAGGACTGGCTCAGTCAAGACAGCACCTTTGCATCAGATGAGGCTGCACAGCTCTAGCAAGACAGACTCACTCACACACCCAAACCCAGCTCCCAGCAAAGCCGAGCATCGTCCTGGTTCTCTTGGGGGGAGGGAAGAGGGGAATGGTGTTTTGCTGATGTCATGAAATAATCACTGCCAAGGCACCACGGCTAAAGGAGGCCCTTCACTCCCACAATGAGCTTCGTCTACTCCAAGTTTGCAGCACTCCTCAACCTGCTGAGGAGGAGCTGAAAACTCTGGTTTCCAAGTCCATTTGATTGCTGAAAAGACTACTAAGAGAAATCGAATCATAAATGCACTTGGAATGGCAAGATTGCTCTAGGCAGACAGGAGTTTTAGAGCTGCTTGGCCACAGATGAGTTGGCAAACTGGGTCAGGGAACTATCAGTACGCTCTCTGAGCCATGGGACACAGTTCATGGCCAGATCCTGACTCTCACATCTAAGCCACTGTGTCCAGGTAAACAGTAAGGAACTAGGCAATGGTTAGAATGAAAACATACAGAGATGTGGGGAACAGAAGGATTTCTCTTAAGTTGTCTCCCCAAAATGTGTACCAAACTTAACTGCTTAAGAGTGACTGTACAATAGGTGATCAGCGAGAGTAGGTCAGAGGTTATTCTCCTTAACATCGGCCATCTGTAGTGGCTAGACTATTAGTCTGACTCACCCTGAATAAGACCCACTCCCTTCTGATAAGGATAATGGTGGTCTATTCACTTGCAAGAGAGGGCAAACCCGCCCCAAGGGTGACAAAGGTTAGTTAGCCATTATCAGCTGTCTAGATCAAGCAGACACCACTGTCTATTCCACAACCAATGTGGACACACCCCTGGGTGATTCCTCTCCTATTGATTGTATTGCCTATGTTAATATCCCTCCTGGTGACTCAGGTTATTGTCCACTATCAGGGAACTTGTATGCCTCCCAGAATAGTAATTGTCTGTTTTATTATGTGAGACGTTAGAGTGATCAAACTTGTTCTAGAATGAATTGTATTGCCCCTTTCTGTGATGTATGACTCTATGATGCGTGGTTAGCAATAAATAATGAGGCTCCCTGGTTCTCCAGAGGGTGGCTGGCAGAGGGTGGCTGGCCAGAGGGTGGCTGGAGAAGGTGACTAAGGAGGATGAAGCAGCGGCTTCTTCTCTGACAGCTAAGCCCCCTCCACGAGGACCATCAAGCCGGGCTGAGGTGAGCGATGGTACTATGTAACATGTCTGACTGTATTACTGTAATCTAACTCTCATGCTCTTGATGTCTTTAATATAATACTTACATATCTCAACCGTACAATTGTGCATTACTGAACCCAGAAGTAGTATTACTGAACCAGTGAGTTCTAGTACCGGGTGGGGCTGGCACCTCACCCCCCAGAGACAATTTTATTTAATACTACACAGAGAGAAGGACACTCACAGCTATTCTGAGGATTTTTAGACAAAAAACACAACACAAGTGCCATTAGTCTCAAGTCATTCTGATGCTACTCTCAAATGACTCTGGTACAGAGGGTCGGGAGTGCGGCGCAGCAGTATACTACTGGTGTGGACACAGGCTCCGTATCCCCCAAGTGCAAAAAGAGAACACGGCTGTGTCCACTCTGTTTCTGTGCTTGCAATAACGTTTATACACATAACATATTCCATTTATATATACATACAGCATTAGGTAAATGTATGTGCTAAAATAGGTCAATGTATATCAAATGCATATGCAAATGTCATAAATATATAAATTTAAAGTGGCATTCCTTTTTTGGAATAGCTTTCTTTTTCTACAATGGGTTTTACTTAACAGCTTGGGAGGGGAGGCTGCACTACTGACCAGATGCGTGTTCCGCAACAAAATACGCAACACTGAACAAAAGCCCGGTGTACTGGGCAACACCGGAATGTCGGAAGAAGGATGGGACTGAAAACGCCAGCTGCACGAGGAGCTGCCACTGGCAACGAGCCGATTCCAGGAGACTAGTCAGTACGGACGGACGTAACCTGGGGCGGCATTTCCCATCTGATGTGCTTAGAACTGAGAGCCGTCATTGGGCTGGCTAAAGTGACCGTGAGGACGAAGCAGTGCAGTGTCCATCCTGAACGTCCGTCACTAATTCCTGTCCATCACTTAATACCGTTTGCTCCTAGTGGAGACCTGCTCAACATGCTTCCCAAGACTTCACACTGGATTCCCAACCTGCAGCCTGGAGTCAAGTGGATTCTGACTCATAGTGTCTCTACAGGACAGAGTTAGCTGCCCCATGGGTTTCAGAGAGTAACTGACCTGTCGGGTAGCACTTGAGCATTTAACTACTGTGCATTAGGGCCCTAGGGCCCCCACCCCAAACTAGTGTTTCTGGGGCCTCCAAGGAAGGCTCATGCTCTCAGCAATGGTCTTGGGGAAGCACTCTTTCTGGATATCTAGTGTTCTAAATTATTTGAATTCTCTGAAGACATTTATGTGAGAGCGCACATGAAATCCAAAAGTGTATGACAAATTTAGCATATGTGTTGACTTAATTTTTAAAGACAAATAAAATAGAAGGGAGAAAATAACTACAAATACAGTTCTATAGAAAACATGTTAAAAGCAACAGCAGTAGAGCCAAATCAGTAAAGTGGTATATTATCGCTTTTCTGCCAACTAACCACTTTCTGCAGGCTACATTTCATCTCTGCCGAAAAGTCCTTTAAAACAGCCTCAGAGGACAAGCCCCGAATGCCAAATTGACTTTATTGCTTTATTACTAATGGAAATTCTGACCTAGGAATCCCTATAATTAAGCTCTTACAGTTCTGCCTCGATTATTAAGCCCAACAAACTGGAATTATCACGACTCTTTTCAAAGAAAGCGATTTCTTTAGAAGGTGGGCCAAAACGTGGGGTGGGAAAGGGGAGAATTATTTTAATTTTGTATCCTGCAGGGAACCCTGATAACACTTCAATTAAAAAAAAAAAAACCAAACCCCACCAACCCCAGGTTCTTGCTGTAGGACCTCAAGGAGGACGCAGACTCTAGTTGGAAAGACTTACTGCTGTCAATAGTTGTTGACGGCAGTGGAAGGGTCGAGGGCTCAAGGCACTTGAGAGGAAGTGAGTGACTTCATTTCTGATCCCCATTAGCAGCTCTGGCTTTCCAGCGAAGAGAGAGAAGAAGGGCAGGGGGAAAAAGTCCACCCCCACCGTTAGTTACAGTATCAGCGACTTTCATGGTGTTTTCTGAGAGGGGTCATTCATACCAACAGAAGCCTAAGCAAGGCTTGCAAAGGGATGGGGGATGCTTGAGAGCCGTAACAGACCAAGGCACAGGAAGATGCTGATCTTTCAAAGTGAAATGTAGCTTGCTAAGTGCTCCTGCCAGGATGGGAAGCCCAAACCACATTCATTTTGCTGAAGTCATTTTCATTTGAAACTCAGTGAAATGTGTTTGGCCAGGAACACAACCACCCCAGAAACAGCACGTCTGTCAGTCAGTGGCCGAGCCGGCTAGCAAAGGTAAAAAGTCAAAAGCCTCCACAGAGAGACAAGTGGACAAGAGCCTACCACCACGTGAGAGATGGGACCCTGGGGTGGAAGTGTCAGCCAGGCCTTCCAGAAACATTTCCCAGTAAAATACAGTGGAAACGGGTGCTTTTAAATACACTTGACTGCAGGACAAACATGCTGGAGATTCAAAGACAAGGCAAAAAAGGCCTCCCAGAGCACTAACTTCAGAGCATGTCTGCGGTCCATCTGAGCAGGATGGTGAAAATACCCGCAAAGCACGTAGGTCTGAAGACACTAGGCCAGCTGCTAGCCTTAGGCGAGGGGTGGGACCCTGGTTCTGGGCCTTTTTTTTTTTTAAGGAAAAGAGGGCTTCTCTTTACTGCATTTTCTTTCTTTTTAAAAAAAATCACTTTATTGGGGGCTCTTACAACTTGTTACAAACCATACATCAACTGTATCCGACATCCTGGTGAATGTATTTCATCGTTCTTTTCTAGACATTTACTTTCCATTGAGCCCTTGGGATCAGTTGCTCGCCGCCGCACCACCACCCCCCAGCCCCGCCCTCCTACCCCTCTTGACTGCATTTTCAAGCTCGGGCTTGTCTCAAAATCTAAGGGTGAAACCTGGATGAACGAAGAGCCAACACACACCGTTTCAAAATGAACATGATGTGAAAAATAGCACACGGCTTTAAGGACTCACGGATCTGTAAAAACGTCAGCGATATATCTCATCATTTCGAAGCTGGTTTGTATGTGTGGGCTTGATCTTTAAAGGTTATTTGGTTTTCATTATTAGAGGCATTTTTCATCCGAGTTTGTCCCTTGGTGTGTTACGCTGTTAGGGCCTGACACCTAGTGGTGACATACAATTTGATAAGCAACATTAGGCTGTAAGCTGACCTTTTTTAAAGAATGCCACAGAACAGCCAAATCAGAGAGGTGGAGTCAGTAAAGTGGGGCTCAGACAGAGCAAACCTTCACTAGGTAGTGGGCAACCGACTCCCTCTGAGCTACTAAGTGGAGCCGATTTTTTTCGATCACTACTAGACGTCTAAGCACTGGCCACCTTTAGAAGTACAAAGCAACCAAGCAGCACAGTGCTGGCTGATTTTCTTCCCTAAGGAGGCTTCAAATGTCTATTGCCCAGAGTTTGCAACCCGTGGTCAGATAAGCGTACTGTGACTCAGAGGATCGGGGTACAGTCGTTAGAAATGATTAACTGCAGAGACCACCAGAACAACATTCTCAATGTCACCCAGTGACAAAGCAGGACACAAATGCACGCCCTCTGTGACTCCAAGTTACACTTGCAACAGACAAAGAATAGGAAGGACTGCACCAAGATGATAAGTGTGCAAAGGTGACAAGTCTGGGGGCATTCACACCTGAGTAGAACACCTTGGGCAGAGCAGACAGTGTGTGCTGGCTGAGTAACGTGGCTGGGCTTCTAAGGCTATTCCCTAGTGCTTTGCCATTTCCTCACCAGTGAAAATATGTTGGTAGTCTGAGGCACCAGTCTTCAATCAATAGTAGTTATGGTTTCAAATACAGTTGGCGTAAGGATGTATGGTCAAATTAAAAAAAACAAGAAAACACCTACAAATATATTAGAACCTCACAAGGCAAATTAGCACACAGCTGGACCCAAAGACTCCTACAATGTAGAAATTCACTTACCCAAGCATGATTACCCTCCAAACTTATTTGACCATGAAATCTCTTTGTAACACAATCCTATGCACTGTGGCACCTAACAGCCAACTTAGAGTGGGCAGAAAGGGAGGGGTATACCTCAAGACCCAGTTCATTGGGGCACCATAAAAAATGGGCACCTCCAAATTCTGGAGCAATGCCAGTGGCCAGCCTACAGGGGCCCAATTACCTGCGTACCAAGCCACCTGCAGCTGAACACATTTTGGGAACAAGTATTTTCAGAGATCTAACAATGGTATCAATCACCTGACTCCTCAAACTTCTGTAAACAATACTCCACTTTAAGGACTGTTTTGAGTTCTGCATCGCCATGCTCTGACAGGATATTTCCAGCCCCCTTTCCAAATGGTGCTTTGGAGATGCTCAGAGAACTCAGATTTACCCAGAACTTACCATCGCTTGTCGTAGTACAGTTTGCCGTCTTCTATCCGAGCTTCATATCTCTGGGCTGGGGACTCAGCGGGCGTGGCAGGCATGTGTTCAGGTGAGGACGGGGAGGCTGGAAGGAAGCAGAGGAATTTCATATGTGAGTCCATCAGCTAGTGTTTGAATTGATGTACTCATAAACCCACTGTCACCCAGCTGAGTCTGCGTTTAACACAGAGACCCTCCGTTGAGTTTCCGAGAGCAAGGGTGGTGGTGTTAACATGCTTCAGGAGTACTGGTGTGGTGAGAGAATCCAACACAGCCAGATAGCTGCTATCTACTGATTCTCTAAACCAACCTGTGAGGAGGTCAGGGCCCAGATTAACACTTGAGCAGAGCAGACTCCCAGGAAGCTTGAGGGTATGCCAACAACAACCGTTTTGCAGGCCTCAGAGTACCTAGTAGAGCAGATTACCGGCGTGTGGAGCTTCAGTCTAAGGCTGATGCTAATAACCACAGGGTCCAGGGCTTAAACTCACAGCTGACAGGCGCACACGGTCCCTCCCCAGCAGCTCTGCAGGCACTCAGGATGCTTCTGTGGACCAGACCATGGACACCATCGAGAGAAAGGACGCCCTTGTTCTAGTCCACAAGAGTCACTGAGTAGCAGGATATGTGAGTCATCAGTACCCAAGTTTGTTTGTTCTTTAAGCCAATCCAGAACTGTTGAGAGTGCTTGTGCTGGCTCGTGAGGGCTGCTGTGGAAGGATCCCCAAGAACAGCGCCAGCCCCTCCTGGGTAAGGCCAGACTCGGAGCCGCCTCTGAAGCCCCTTACCGGGGCTGGGGAGGAAAAGGGCTGGCACAGCTATGCTCGGCACTTAATGCCAGAAAGCAAGGGATTCTGGGAAAGCCTCCTCAACTTCATTCTCAACAGGGGCAAGGACTTTAATATTAGGTCTGGTGCTCACCCACAAGGAAACCTTCCCCAGTCCAGAAATCAAATCAGACATCTCTTCTTTAGTAAACCCTAAGAAGGGGACAAGTAACTAACAGTGGGAGGGTAGGGGAAGCGCACTTAAGGAATGGGACTTTCAGCTGCCCTGACAACTCTTTGGCAAAAGACAAAACATTTTTTTTTGAAAAGTGCAATGATTCCCAGACAGCTATTTGCATGCTTTCCAATGTGACAAAGAGATGACACAAGTGCCAATGGCTCCAAGCACGTACCTGGTCTCTTGGGTGACTTCAGCTGTAGGAAGAACAACAACAGAAAGAGTCTTAGAAAAAACCATTTCAGATGCAACTTAAGGTGTCAGAGTTTTCACAATGATTTAACAAGTGACATGGAAACAACGGGAAGCAGAAGACGCGCCACGCCAAAGTTCTCTGCTACACCACAAGACTCCCCGGTACCTTATTTAATGTCCTCAGATCCTCCATGATCTGCTCATCTGTTAACAGGTAGTTCAGCTGGGGTGCTGAGAGTTAAAGGAATGCATCCACAAAACATGGCTTTCACACAAACAGATCCTGAGACAGTACACCCGTGTGTCAGACCCAAGGGAGTGTGACTCAGTTGAATGGTGTTTTCACAAGACACTTTGCTTCTTGGAAGTTGATGGCTCTCCTGCTAAATGGGCAGTAACCAGGTATCTTACCTGGGGAGAAGGGGGCATGAGCTTCACTGGGTGAGCAAAAGTGAGCAAACACACGCTAACTGTGAAATCACTGTTTCTGCCTGGATTGTAAGGACGGGAAGTTATACCCTTGTCTGCTGGCGACAAGTGGCAGACAAAGAACTGAAGCTTTCTGGACCAACAGTTATGCTCTCTAGGACAGAAACACTTCCCTGAGTATCCCAGTGTCCCCCTCGCCCCAGTGCCATTGCTATGATTAGAGGATTTATGACCGACTCAAATCTCATTTTGACTTAGGATCAGTGTTTCCCAAAGTAGGAGATACTGGCCCTCTGCTGGGGGCGCTGGAATGGTCCTGGTGAGCTGTGAAGGCAGATACTTATACTCTATCCTGGATTATGGGCTACAGGACAAAAGGTTTTCATGCCAGGGTGGTGCTCTTTTTTTTCCAGAAAAGGGGGCAGCAGGCCAAGTTAGTTTTGGGAACCTTAGATGCAGCAGTTCGAAATCCACTCTTCAGAGACACAGATAAACAGAAGTCCAGAAAGGGAGGCGAATGCCCCCCTTTCACAGGTAGAAAAACGAAGGTGCCTGACGTTTCCAGCTGCCTTTGACTTCTGAAGTGAACGTGATCTCTGTGCCAACACCAGGTACCCTTTCTAAGTGATCCAAACTCACTGCCAGGGGGTCAATTCTGACTCACAGTGACCGTGTAGGACAGAGGAGAACTGTCCCTTTGGGTTTCACAGGAGCAGAAAGCCTCATCGTTCTCCAGTGGAACCTCTGGTGGTTTTGAACTGCTGACCTTGCAGTTAGCAAGGAAATGAGAAACAACTATGCCACCACCAGGGCTCCCATGTGATTCTTCTCCATAAAGCCCTCTCACCAGGAGCTGCAGCGAGGAGGACTCCAGCCATGAAAGGGCCGGCAGCATCTTACGGGGTGACTATGTGCACGTGTTCCCCAGGGAAGGGCTCCGGTGGGAGGAGTGACAAGTAAAGGTTGGACAGCAGGCGGCAGCCTCGGGGAGAGTGGCTCAAGCTCAAGCAAGTGGATATCTGGAGCTGGCTTCCTCCGCTTGTCGGGGATGGGGACGGGGTCGTTGGGTCGCCTCCGTAACTTTCTGGTCATGATGGGCTTCACTTCCATGGAATCTGTGCAAGAATGGAATGGGCCGATCAATCCAAGTTGGGAAGAATCTCCAGTCACCCGAGGAGTATCTGTCCCATTGCCACCCCCCTCAGACAATTCCATTGGGCAAGCCAGGGAGACTGAAGAGTCTGTCCTAGAAGATTCCACTGTGAAGGGAGACATCAGACCGTGCAAGACACGGCAAAATAAGAATTCATAAATTATCAAGGATTCATGAGGGAGGTGAGGTGGGGAGGGGGGTAAATGAGGAGCTGATACTAAGGGCTCAAGTAGAAAGCACGTTTCGAGAATGATGATGGTAACAAATGTACAAATGTGCTTGACACAATGGATTTATGTATGGATTGTGATAAGAGTTGTACGAGCCCCCAATAAAATGTTAAAAAAACAACAGATTCCACCAACCAACCGAGTTGCCTTTCACCTCACCTTATAGCTGCTGACAGTATCCTTTACCCCCAAATCTAGGGAGTCTCTTCCCTCAAATGAACGAGCCCCAGAGTCCTAGGCCTTTTGGACTGTATAAGTGACTGTGATAAGGACTGTGAAAGTGCCTCAGAGCCACCTCGGTTGACCAATCCCCCCACTGTTCTGGGATAAAAGACTCTTTCAGATGCAATGGCTTTGGTGCCAGCATTTTTATAGCAGGTCTTCATTTATCCACTTGAACGCTTTTTTCCCTTTCATTCATTGTCTAGTCCTTTCGCTTTTTTCCCTTTCATTCATTGTCTAGTCCTTTCGTAGCCACTTGAATATCCAGGAGATAATGAAGACACACAGTAAAAGCCTCTTTCATCCTTCTTGGCTTCTCTGCACCCTGCCTCAGCCGCCCATACCCGTGCCTGAAACCGCTCCTCCCCTGGCTGCCATCACACAAAAGCCCTACGGACCTGTCGCCCCGCTGGGGTTCTCTTTGCTGGTTTGTTCCATACGTCCTGGGGATGTCTGGTGCCCAGCCGACCTCAGCCTGTGTGCCAGTGAACCACAGCCCACCATGTCCAGCACCACCCACCCACCTGAATGACTCTGTCCCAGATGGACCCATGACTCAATTCACCCCACAAGTCCACCTCCTGTCCTGGGCCTCAGGAGCATCACATCAAGCCATCCTCCCAAGCAAAGGCAAAATCCTTGTCTAGGGCTTGTCTGCCTTTTCTGTGGCATCAAATTCTGATACTATCAGTCCTGCCTCCTAGCACCTTCCAATCCCATCCCCTCACCACTTTTTTTTTAAAACATTTTATTAGGGGCTCATACAACTGTTATCGCAATCCATACACACATCAATTGTGTAAAGCGCATTTGTACATCATTCTCAAAACATTTTCTCTCCACTTAAACCCCCGACATTAGGTCCTCATTTTCCCCTCCCTCCCCACTACCCCCTCCCTCATGAGCCCTTGAGAGTTTATAAATTGGTATTTTGTCATATCTTGCCCTGTCCGACGTCTCCCTTCACCCACTTTTCTGTTGTCCATCCCCCCAGGGAGGAGGGCACATATAGTTCCTTGTAATCGGTTCCCTCTTTCCTACCCATTCTCCCTCCACCCTCCCTGTTTCGCCACTCACACCACTGGTCCTGTAGGGCTCATCCGCCCTGGATTCCCTGTATTTTCAGTTCCTATCTGTACCAGTGCACATCCTCTGGTCTAGCCAGACTTGCAAGGTCGAATTCGAGTCATGGTAGTGGGAGCGGGGAGGAAACATTTAGGAACTAGAGGAAAGTTGTATTTCTCACCGTTGTTACATCGCACCCTGACTGGCTCGTCTCCTCCCCGAGCCCTCACCACCTTCTTGCTGAACCAACCTCCAATGGCCTTCAACAGTCTCACTGACCTGACTCTCCCACCACGTCCAGTCCATCCTTCTATCCTGAGGGTGAGCTTCTTCAAGTAGAAATACAGTCTATCACCCTCCTAAACACTTCGACAATTCACCGTGCTCTACAGACTAAATGCCAACGTCCTCAGGAGGGTGCACAGGGCTCTCCCATCCCAGGCCAAGCCTCCCTTCTCCCTTCCTATGTACTCGGAACTTTCTACAGCAGAAAAGCACGATGTCTTTCTAGGCCTCCAGGTCTTCGCCTAAGCTGTCTCCTCTGCCCAGCCCAGCCCTACTCAACAGCCGTGGGGCGTTCACTGAGCTCTCACCCGGTGGGACAGCTTCCACAGGTGAGACATCCACTTAACAAGTGTCAAGAACATCTCTACAACCATCTGTGCCAATCCCCCCACTAGACTGAAATTCCACCACAGCATGGAGCCCCCCCCCCCCCAGCAGTGGCCCGGGCACAGAATGACACGAAGTTTCCTGCAGAATCACTGGACGGGTCACACCACCAGCAGAAGAGACAGCTAGGGAAGTCAACCACTAGGGAAGTCAACAGGGGCTCTTCCATTACAGCAACTCACAGGGACTTGGGGGGCCTGAGAAACAGGTGTACAAAGATAGCATTGATGGGCAACAGCAAAAGGGGTGCCTCAGGAGGAAAGGGGGACATGAGTCAAGGTCAAGTCACCAGTGTCCACAGTCAGATACCATTCAAAGCGCCTTCTCTGTGAACTCAGTCACGTGAAACGGCCCAGGCTCCCCATCAGCAGGAGGAATGCAGGCCACTTCTACTACTCTTATAGATACTGTGTGAGTTCCCCCCTTTCCTTGCTCCGACTTCCCTGTCTGCTCCCGCATGGGTATCACCTTCCATACTCTACAATCAAGACAAGCAGTCTTGGCCCCCTCCCCACCACCTGACACTGGTGAAGACATGCAGCCTGTGCTGTGTGTAGTTATCAGACACGTGCCTTGCGGGGGCAGACCTTTAGCATCAAGCTTGGCTTCGTGATCACAGAGTACTGCATGTGGCCCTGGTATCTGAACATAAACCAATGGCGAGGAGGTGGCATGGCGTGGCAATGATAACGCACTTGCCATCGGACAGGCCAGTTGTGGCTTCACCACTCACTCAAGGGACTTTGAGCAGATGGCTTCACTTCCAGGGACCCTGGTTGCCTTCTGTGACAATGGGATAATGACACACAGGCAAAGCAGCTGAGGGAACTCAGCATGGTCACAATTTTCCAATCCCAGAGTGACTAGTCTGTGCCAGCCACTCTTCAAAGCACTGTTAGCGTCACCCCAGCCTTCTATCCTGTCCTTGCCAAGTGGAAAAATCCACATCCTTGCCCTAAGTCAGTGATTTGGGCCAGCATCCATCTCTGCTCTGTGGGCCCACCAAAGTGGCACCATTACCTTCACATTCATCTTGGTCTGATCACTCTAAGTGCTGAGGAAACAGGGCTTCTATTTTGGTATTACACATCTTCGGGGCTTTGGCCACAAACCAGCATCTTGGAGAGGAGTCCACAGGCCATATGAAGGTCACGATAGCTTCCGAAGGGGCCTGTGGGTGGGTGATGCTCCCAGTGAGGTAAGATCTTCAGGCAGAAATAGAAGCAGCCGTCGTGGGCAAACAGAAGACAAGATGGAAAGAAGGCCACTTCTTTGTTGGGGAGAAAACAGGCCATGTTTTCTCATGTGAGAGCTCATCAGGTTCCCGCTGATGGCCTCTCTGATCCAAGGCCCTTGCTTCCATGTTGAGGATGCCTGCCCGGGTCACTCTCCCTAGACGCTCACTCCAACTGCTGCCGACAGATCAGAGGCAGCAGCTCCACAAGGGGCTGGTTCCACATGCCACGTTCTCAGAGAAAGTTCCTGAAAGCACTGGCCTAACATTCCTAGGTTCCTACCTCCAGGGCACCTTTCCACCGGAGCAGCCCAGTTCCCCCCATTCTTCAAAGGAGGTGGGGGGCTACGAGCACCCCTCTTCCATCCCAGGGAGGGTTTGAGTGTTTCATGTTCAGGCAGAGCAGGTCACAGATAGACCGTCTCAAACACTGACCCTCATCTGAAAAGCTTTTCACAGTGAACCCGAAAAGGAACTTTCTCAAAAAAGACCTCCTGGGGAGAGCTGCAGACGCGGACAGTCACATCTTTATCCTGCAGTGTGGCTGGTGGACTGGACTGGTCAACCTTCTGGTTGGCAGCCTACTGCTTAACTTCTGTACCAGGGCTCCTTGGCAGAGCTCAGAGCCCAAAGGTGAACAACGATGTCACTGCATTAGAGGGTTGAAACCAGCCCTTTCATCCATCCCCAGAGCAGTCCCATCTGTGGAAAGGCTCATTATCCTTCTAACTCCAGTGCCTCCTTGCAGAGTCTCACATTACCTTGGCAGTGGCTCCACGCCAAGGGTTTCCAGTGGCTGGAGGAATGACACCCGGAGCTGGCTTTACCCGCTTCTGTACCTACTTCACGGCGTTACCCATGATTTCCTTGACCTGTGTGTCAGGCTGGCCTCCAGTCACCAGACACCTCCAGTCCCAGTTGTGATCCTGGTTGTCAAACTGGCTGGCCACACAATGTCTCTCGCTTATCGGCAAGTGGACTGTCAGATCCCAGGTGAGTTGGCGTGACCCTTTCCCTACAGATGGGGAGGGAGTGGCAATAAACTGATGATTGTTCCCACTCGCCTAATAAAGCCCGTGGACATCTGGAGACTCTGGCCGAGCACGCTGGTCGTGGCATCAAAGGCAGCCAGAGGTGCTGCTAGAGAAAGCAGTGGGCAGGCTGGCACACGGGTCGGCAAGGGACAAGGCCATCAGAGCTGTCTGCCATAAAGAAACATTTACCAAGAACAAAGCCACGCCGTCTGCAGATAGGGCTCAGCAGCTCTTCTCACGGACACCCTCGCTGAGCCGCTCCCGGAGGCCGTCGGGCCTGGTTCGTTTGGCCAAGCCTTTCAATGAGAACACTTCCAGAGGAGAGGTTTCCTTTTCTTCTCTTCCCTCCCCAGACAGTCCAGCCCTTGTTTCTGAGTGGAGCCCCTTCTTTTGCTGGTGTATCACGGGAGGACAAGCGGGTGCACAGCACCGCTGCTCCTGGCTGGTGCTCTCACTCCGTCCAGTCCCAGGACCGACGCAAATGCCCGGATTCCTACAGAAGTCCGCTGGCCAGAAACAGGCGGGAGTCCAGGGCCTTAGAACGTGATTATAAAAGGGCAGGCCACTTTTAGGAGGGGGCATTACATAGTTTGTTGAGGAATGGAATGGACAAGTAATGTCATCTGAAGCACCCTCATAGATCCCAGCGACCAGTCCAGTTCATTCAATACCAACTCCTGCTCCTTCTCCTGCTAGGGGACAGATGGCAGTGGGGGTTCTGACTCTGAAGCAGCCTCCAACCTGCTGAGCACTCCACACTCCCACCTCCACCCCACGGCAGAGTCAGCCTGCGATGACAGGACGGCTCTGAGTCTCACACAACTCGACTACCTCTGCAGGGAGGGAGACCGCTCAGCTCAGGAACACCCGAGGAGGAGGGTCCGAGAGCAGAGAGGACGCAAGACCAAAAGCCTGCCTTCTCAGAGCTCAGGCAACGGAAGAAAATGCCTTTCCTGACATTTAGGGGGACTTTTAAGGAGGAAAAAAAACCCTAACTTGCCCATCACCACAAACAGACTTGAGCCAACAAGAACATGACCAGACGTGAACGGCAGCTGGCCCAGGAATTCCATAAAGCGTAATCCAGAACATGTTGTTAGTATTGCGGTCTCCCAGTTAATGAACACACATGCTCTGTAGAGGGTGCCAGCCTCGGTGCACACCTTTCCCATAACAGTGCTGAGGCTGGGGATCAATGGCCCCATTGTGCAGAGGGGAACAACAGGCTCCGAGTGGTTAATGGCTGGACTAAGGTCACACAGCCAGTACAAGTGGAGCCCACTCACCTTTCACTCTGCTCTGCCTCCACCAGGGCTGTCAGCAGCCTGCCCCCCAGCTCTGCCCGCTTCCCGCTCCCCAGGCCCTGGCCCCCGGGGTTCTCATACCTCCAGTTAGTTCCATAGTGAGCTTCTCATTTTCGATCATCTTCTTCTTCTCCTCCAGCTCGGCAATCAGATTCTCTTTCAGCTCCACCTTCTTGTCTTCAAACTCTTTCACCGCAGCCTTCTTTTCTTTGATGTAGTTTCTTTCCACCTGTTCAGTCTGAACGAGAAGCAGAGGCTAGGGGTACCAGGAAGGCCCCGAGAACAGGCTCCGACATGAAGCCTGGCTCTCGCCTTCAAGAGCAAAACAAGAAAGAGAGTGGACTAGCCCTGGGAAGCAGAGCAAGACACCTGCACTAAGTCACTGCCTGCCGGGCCCGTTTCCAAGGGATGCAAAAGCGGGTCCCCAGCCTTTTGTCTGTCTGGAAGAGTACTTGACTCACTCACCCATCAGGCAATTTTTCACATGCACATCTTAGACTTATGACTTTCATGCTAAGTTTCTCAAGGATGGTTAGAATCATACATTCATGGAGGTCTACCAGTCTTCAAAATTAAGTACAAGAGATGGGTGAGATGGCATGAGTTGCCATTTATGATTCATGACATGTCAAAATACTGGGGAGTACGAGGAACCAGTGAGGAGTCCTAGTGGTGCAATGGTTAAGCACTCAGCTGTGAACCAAAAGCTTGGTGGTTCAAACCCATCCAGCATGGCAGAAGCGAGCTGGCAACCTGCTCTCTACAGAGTGAAGCTAAGCCCCAAAGTGAAAACCCAGGGGGGCAATTCTACAGAAGCTAAGTCCCAAACAGAAAACCCAGGGGGGCTGCTACAAGTCAAAACTGGATGGATAGTAATGGGCCAGATCATTCACTGGGTGCTGTACCCCACAGCACTCAAACACTAAAATTCGACAAAAATGACAATTACGTCAGCCCCATTTGTCTGCATTCTAGCAAGTGAAGAACAAGCAGGCTCAGGGTGGGCGGTGGGGTGCACCAGGTGGGTCCTCTGGGCTGAGTGACTACATGTTTGGAACTTAGCTCAGTACTAAAACTGTTTCCAATCATGTGGCTCTGACAAACCACAGCTTTCTCACAAAGCTCCCCAACCCACACCAGCCACTCAGGAGCAGCACAGCCTGCCGGCTTCCCACTCTTTTCTATATCCCCAGCACCAGGCCTGGCACAGGGCTGGCACTCAGATGAAAGCTGGATAAAAGGAAAATCAAACAACAAAAAACGTCGTTCTCACTGGCCCAGACACTTCTGACTGTAAAAGTGAATTAGAGAGCTAATTCAGACACGAGGCTGCTTTGAAGGCCAGTAAAGCAGATGCCTCAATCATTGTCATTCCAACATATTCCAACCACCTTCCACGTGAGACACAGCCTTGCATCCCACCCACTGGGGGACACAGAGGATGCCCAGACAAACAAGAGGAGAATAAAAAGATGGTATCTGGGAACAGACTAATGTCTGGGGGGCACCTCTGCACTCTTCATCTGGTGCCACAGGGCAGCACCACCACTTCTGGAGGGCAAGGAAGCACTGCAAAGCAGCCCAGGAGCAACGTGTACTTACCTCCAGCTGGAGGAAGAGTTCTGAAAGAGAGAGAACATGCAATCAGACGCGCTAGGCTGTGTCACCTTTCTAGACAGTGATGCTAGGATTCATTTAGAAGCAGTAATTGTTTTCTGAAAGCATGGTTACACAAGCAAATGTTTTCATCAGTAAAGTGTTGATCTACATGAAGCGGAAGGCAGCAAGAGACGGTGTCTGGTTAAAATCAGGCCCAGAACAGGGCTGGCACTGGCAGTTCTGCTCAAAGGTAAAGGAGACAGCAGGCACCAAGCTGCCGTCCCCCAAACCCACTGCGCACCTGCGACCAGGGCTGCCAGAGGGGTTCCAAGGCTGTCACCTTCTGAAAGCAGAGTGCCACAGGGTGGCTCCACCCACTGAGCTTTCGGCTAGTAGTCAAGTGCTTAACCACTGTGCCACCAGAGCTCCTTTAAACTACCTTGGTGAGGGGATCTCTCTTTCACTGGGTCCATACTCTCCAAAAGTCACCCCTACAAGGACAGGGCCGGGCGGTGTGGGTCTGGGGGAAGTGATGCCATCACTCCGGAGGCCAAGCCAAGTCGATACCCAAGCTGTGGAGTAAAGGGCACTACGGTGAGGAAGGGCACCCCATAGGAAACCAGAGCACAGAGCTTTAGGCACCTCCAGAGGCTGGACTCTCAGACACCAAGCCTCTGCTCCAGGACTCCCTTGGCAAGCACTGTCTACTGGTCTGTCTGAACACCTCTCTCCATCACAGCCTGAACTGTCTCCCCCACTGTCATCCCTGGACCCTCTCACAGATGCCTTCCCACCTCCAGCCAGCAGTAAACCTATTAAGCACCTTCTGTGTACTTGGGGGGAGGGGTGGGGACTAGTAGCACAGTGGGTTACACATTAGGCTAACTGAAAGGTCAGTAGTTCCAACACAGCCGACAAGACTGTCTGTGCCTTGATTTACAGCCTCCAGAATCCCAGGGGCAGCTCTGCTGTACTACAGGGTGGCTATGCATCAGAACCAACTTGATGGCAGTGGGTAGGGTTTGGTGTGCCAGGCAGTTAGTGCCAAACCTTGACTAAGTAGCTCCCTGATCACTAGGTTATTACCCTGTGGTTATCACACCGTGGTAAAGTGCTCATCTGCTAACGGCTGGTGGCTCTAACCCTCCAGGAAGAAGGATGCAGCGGTCTGCTCCTGTGAAAAGTACAGCCTTGAGGCCTGAGGGGCAGCTCTACCCTCCCCTGGAGGGCCTCTGTGTGTTGGAAGTAACTCAGTAGCAATGGGTGTTTCCTACAAACTGGGACATACTGGGTCGCCACTCCAGGGCTGTTGTCCACAGTGCACCATGGTCCCCTTTGCAAACCCCACCAACACTATGGGCTTGAAAGGCACACCTGGCACATTCACACAAAAGATTGCACAGAATATCACAGGGTTGGGGGATGCCCAGGTGCTCAACTAACAACCACTCAATGTGCAGATAATAAATGAGGAATGGGACAAATCTGCGCATCATCTTCTAACCCTGGAAGTCCTGAGGTTCATCCGCCTGACCCCCTAGTACTGGGCATCACTGGGCACAGGATCAGCATGCTCCCACCCACGACAGCCTCAGATTCCCACCGGGCCAGAGCAGGCCAGACTTGTGGAGTCCCGTGACTGGCAGAAAACTCGGAGCTGGCAGCGGCTGCTTCCATGGAAGGAGAGTAAGCCGACGGGGCCCTGTACAGAAGGAGCTCGGTAAAGGGCAAGACAGGGCTGACGCAGCTTATCTGCACCTTCCCCCTGGGGGAGGAGGGCCTATGAGAGCAGCATGACGACAGGGCTGGCGCTCGGAGCAGAGTGAAGTAAAACCACCCAGTGTCTGCGCGGCCGTGCCAGATTAAGAAAAATGACCCATGTTGTTCTCATTTACACCGTCTTGTACCAATTCCAGGGGGTCTTATTATTCTCAGAGACGGGCAAATGGAGAGGTTAAGTATCTTCCTTAAACCCAACCAAACCCACTGCCACCGAGTCAATTCCAACTCACAGCAACCCTACAGGGCAGAGAAGAACCATTCCTGTGGGTTTCCCAGGCGGCGAGCCTCATCTTTCTCCTGTGATTTGGTTGAATTACGGCGGTTGGTTTGAATTGCCAACCTTGACCATCCCGCTACGCCACAGGCAGACCTGAAGTGGGATAAGCAAGTCCTGCCATTATGCTGCTGCCTGTTGCGCATGTTCCTCTCCCTGCTACAAGGTCACTCAGGCAGCTGGCTGAGGGGACAAGGATGGCCCAAGGAGGGGCCTAAGGAGCTTGGAGGGAGCACGTCAGAGCAGGCAAGCAGGAGGGTGGGTGAGGAGTTGACAGTGATAGTCCTCATTTCCTGGGTCCCCACACCTTTCTCCACTGTGTGCTGGTTTACACTGGACATCTACTCACTGAGGGGACGGAAGACTCCATCAGTAAGGAGCTGGGAAGTCACTGGGTCACAGAGTGAGGACACAGCAATGGAATGGCACCCCAGGCCTCATTGTGACTTCCGCTGTAACATGCTGTGGGCACTCAAAATGCTAGTTAACACGCACGATTGCCTACCTGCAGTTACCCATGTAGACACAACTTCTAACAGCTATCTCAACTTCCGTGAATTTTTTTTGGCATGATTCCTATTTAATTCATATTGTTCCTCGGCTTTATATGTGCATCTGTCTTTTGTCAATACCGAGCCTCTTAAAGGTCAGGACTGTGTGTGGACACTACCTTGCCAGGAGTAGAAACAGCAGATGTCCAGCAAGCCTTTGTTCAACGGTACTGTGTACAACAGACCCAAAGCAGGCACTTGCCCTCCCCATGCTTATAAGGCAGTCATAACTCCCAAGGAGACTGACCCCACAGAGCACCAGAGAGCGCAAACTTAAACTGGAGGTAACTTTGCTAACAGCCTACCACCCCCCACCACCCCCTCCAGGTCACACCTCTGCCTGTCCATGAAGCCTGTCATGCAGTTATGAAAGGGAAAGGGCAGAACTCCTCTTGGGGCCCCAGGTACATAATCTGACCACCAAGAGCCACCTCCTATGCCCTTGATCAGAGGGCCCTTCACGGCATAGAGAGAAAACCATTTTTATGTAACTACAGCCTGTGGAGGCGGGGGAGTGTCTCTCCTCTCTTCCGCAACACCTTCCCACACCAGGCTATTTGGGATGCATCGTGGAGACCAGCTCTTACAGACACCCGCCACTGATGCAGCTCAGCAAGAGGACAGTGGCAGATGTGTCATCCCTGCTTATGATGTAGCCGCACCTGCATTTCGTATCCTCTCTTTGTACTGCTGGTCCAGTTTTTTCATTCTCTTCTGATATTCCTGCAGCGTACCTGATTTTGAGCGTTGACAGAAGAAAAAGATGGCGTTACTTTGACGATCAATCTGCTCTGTATTTTGTTACCTAAAATTTTTTTTCCAGCACCAACAAGTGACGGTTTCAAGGCCGTGCCTGCGCAGGCTTTAGCCATCAACCTGGAATGCAGAGCAGAAGCCACCTGGGGCCTACCTGAGGTCCCCAGCCTATTGTATTAAGACTCTCCACGAAAGACAGGTGAAGAGATGCAGACACACACACACAGTCATCTAAGATACATCTGCTGGTTTCTACTCACTAGGAACAAAAGTGAAAGCAGGAAACCAAAGTCTAAGACCAGAAACCAATCGAATAAATAAGCCCACACAGACCACAGTCTCATCTACCCTGAGACCAGACGACCAAATGCTGCCCGGGTACGTTACAAACCGTCTGCTTAGGGTCACAGAACACGGACCCAGAGATCACAGCACAAAAACGCAGAGCGGAACTCTTCATTCTCTAAGAGTGTAGACTCACCTCGTTGCACTAGTTCAGAGTACAGGGCGCCCGAGACTATCGCTCTGTGATATTCCTTGAACCCAGAGCCAAAACGCTTCCAAAACTACCATTTAGCCAAGTAACAGATGGACACACAAAATAAGAAATGTTACCTAGGAGTACAGTATTCCATTTAAAAAATGTCTTAAAAAAATCCAAAACCTAACTACACGAGACCAAAAGGTCAACATTTACTCTAGAGCAACAACCAGAAGGGAGCCGGGAACCAGGGTTGGGGGATGCAGCCACCAGCACGCAAGGCGAGGGAAGCTGACAGGCTGTGAGAGTGTGACTCATATCGCTGAACGTGGGAAGAGATGGCCAAGGGGGAACCTCATGTGCTCTGGCAACTTCCACCAAAAACAACTGTTTTAAAAGAAAAGGCTGCGGGACAAGTGTCACTGGCCCTAGGTACCCTGGTGTGGAGACCTAAATGCACAAGCTCAGGGTCAAGAACAGGAGCCTGCACCTGCTCTCCACTACAGCCTCCTTTCCTTCCTGGTCAAAGTTCAGGCTTCAGTCAGGCCCGGGGCATTGCTGGCCAAGCGAGCTTTCTGCAAGGGTAGAAATGTCCTCGGTGTCAACCAGGAAGGAACTGACGGCTCAGAGCCAGCTTGGGACTTCTGTCTTCCACCACTTTGAGAAAATAAATCCCTGTTCTTTGGAAGTTCACCTCTGTGGAATGCCCATTATAGCCATGCTGGTTGAGACAGGAGGGCATGCTAACGGCATTTTCCCCCTTTCTCAAAACCCCTCATTCACCCTCACCACACAGGCACCTCATGGGCCCCTACAGTGGAATCTCTCTCTCCCCGACGACAGCTTACCATCACTGACAGAAAGAACAAAGTGACGACAGACAGGTGATCACAACCCCTGGGAATGTTTTTCTCCAGTAGACACAGCCATGAAAAATGGGCTGGTGCCAGAGAGCAGGTCGCGCACCACAAAAAAGAACCTCATGCAAAGCCCCAGGTCCTGGTGGTGTAGTGGTTAAGTGCTCAGCTGTCAACCAAAGGGACGGAAGTTCGAGCCCATCAGGAGCTCTTCGGGAGAAAGATGCGGTGGCAAGAGCTTCTATAGACTTACAGCCCTGGAAACCATCTGGGCAGTTCTACTCCGTCTGCCAGGCTTGCTGTGAGCCAGAACCGCCTCGATGACAGCAGGTTTTTGGGTTGATGGGGCAAGTTTCACTGACAAGAGGATTCCACAACACAAAGCCACAGCAGCTAGCCCCCCAAGTACTCCTAAGGCACCCCACAGGGTAGCCTCACCCAGAATCTCATCGACTCAAACCTTCTTCACGTCCCTGGTCAGAAAACAGACAGAGCAAGCGAGTGAGCAGCAGGCCCATGGTCATATACATTCTGGCACTGGGACTCAAACTCGTCAGAGGACTCCAGAGCTGGCACCCTCCACCCGAGTGCTCAGCCACTGCTGGCAGCTAACAACCCGCTCCTATATCCAGCTAAATCAAGTCAGGTGATAACCGGCTGCAGTCTAACATCTGGTTTAGGCAGAACCCCACACCTGACCTATTCCTTGGCCCCACTGCCCTCCAAGAAACGTCTAGCTTCTGAATGGTTTCCCAGTCCTGGCCTAGAAAATAGCCCCAGTTTCACTTAATGGCACGTAGACTGCAAAGCACAGAAGCCTGGCCTGATTTCCCACCTCAGCCACAGAGACTGGTTCAGGGACCCCAAGCCATGTGCTGAGAAATGCAAGAGCACATCACATACCAACCTTCCTGCAGTTGCTGCAGCTGCCTCTTGAGGGATGCCAGCTTGTCCTGATACATCCTGCAGGGGAAAAGGAACCACAATGAAGGATGGCAGCACTCGATGCTCACCTCCACACTCCCCCACTCCCACCACATCCACACTCTTCCCACAGGAATTACGGGGTGGTTTGGGCTTGTCATGGTCACCCTCTAGGGGAGACAGAACTGGGAAGTGGACTTGAAGATTTAAAACATACTGGGAGCTAAAGGAGGATCCTGTCAGTGAAACAGTGAGACGCTCGGCAGAGAATTCGGATCCCCGGTTGCTCCAAGGGAGAAGGATGCAACATCCTGCTTCCACTTCGATTGTGTGATACTATGAGGTGTCTTCAAGCCGGCTGACTCATAGCAGCACCCTTATGCACAACAGAGTGAAACACAGCCCCAGCCTCACAATCACCGCAGCCACTCTGCGCTCCACTGCACAGAGGAAAGGTCTGTTTTCCTGTTTTGCAGACCCTCTACTTTACACAGCATGCCATACTTGTCTAGGAACCAGCACCTGTGCTTCTGAATTGTAGCTCAACACTACCCGAGCTCCTTTGTGAGCTCATCTTTGGAGAATCCGCCTAGAATCTGCCTTTTAAGAGAGCAAGCAGATCTTACTTTGCAAGTGCCAGTGATACACAGGGTTCGGCCAACACACAGACTTGCCTGGCAGAGGCATTTTCTTCCAGATCCACAAGCATCACACACACAAACACAAGATGTAAAAATAGCATGTAACAGCATTTGTAATGACCTGACAATCAGGTTACAAATTCCACAGGAGTCAAGCTATGCCCTGGGCACATCTCTTCCACAGATACTACAGCTGTATACACACGTAGTCAGTTCATATACCTTCATCTCATTCCTCAAAAAGCACCGCGCTTTCAGGCCCAGAGAGAGCACAGTGATTCAGAAACAAAAGCTAAAATGCAGGATTTCTTGGCAGCCCAGCTGGGTAAGAAGACACAGCACACACAATGCACAAGAACCTGCTGGGTTATGTTTTCCACTCAGACCCAGTGGGTTACGGGCAATTACACACTCTGGTAAGTCTGTTTGAACAGGAGATCCCATACGCAAGTCACGTTCATGCAATTCGTTCCCTGCCACCTGAACAAGTCCCACTGCACAGACAGCGACAGACCCAGGACTTGCCACCTGAAGGAAAAGCAGGGCCCACCCAGGGCCAAACAGCAGCCTTCGGATTGTTCAGATCAAAGGTGCAGATGCAAATGAGGCCTTCTGAGCCCTCCCGCCCTCCCACCCTCCCTGAGGACATTTGAACTGACTTTCAGGCAGGCTTTGGGTACTCTGGTCGCTAGCACAGGCTTTCCACTCTAATCTCATATACTTGCTATTCAACAAACCCCAGAGGGATCCAGTCCTAGAAGACTGTCTTGTCTCTGAAGAAGGTATGTGCTATCACGCACACGAGGGAAAAGATGGGTACAGCATGCCCCACAAGTATTTGGAGCCTGGTGGGTAAAATTCTCCACCATATTGCGGGTACCATGCAGTATCTTTGAATTCTGAGTCTATCTCCAAGAGGAACAATGGGCAGACTAGGCATGCAACTAAAAACTGGAAAATGACGTTTTGAAGAACCGACCTTGAAGACAGTAGCTGAGCCCTTAACTGTTTGAGCTACCCAGGGATCATCCAACTTAAAGATAAAACCCAAACCAAACTCACTGCATGGAGCCAATGCCAGCGCACAGCCCCTCAGAAGAGGGAAGACCTGCCCCCATGCGTTTCCGAGGCTGTAAGTCTTGATGGGAGTAAAGAGCGCTGTCTTTCTCCCATGGAGCGGCTGTTAGTTTGAACTAACTTTGCAGTTAGGAGGCCAACCCATCATAACCACTACACTGCTAAGGCTCCTTAATGTAAAGATAAAGGATTTAAGAAAAAACAAAAACGGTCAAACCAAGATCCACAAAATATATTTTAAAAATACTTACTGAATAGATTGGGTGGGAGGGTGTTTCAAAGAGTTGGTGGAAAAGTGTAATTAAAAGACAGTGGAATGTCCCCATGACCTTGAAGTCATCTTGTATTTGACACTACCTTGCAACTATTTGTAACAAATGAGTAAATCCAAGAATTGGGAGGGGGGTGCTTGCATCTGTTTATAACAAATGAGTAAAACCAAGAATTGGGGGAGGGGGGGCTTTTAATTAAAAGACAGTGGAATGTCCCCATGACCTTGAAGTCATCTTGTATTTGACACTACCTTGCATCTATTTGTAACAAATGAGTAAATCCAAGAATTGGGAGGGGGGTGCTTGCATCTGTTTATAACAAATGAGTAAAACCAAGAATTGGGGGAGGAGGGGCTTTAAAACAAAAGAGGAGTCCTGGTGGCCCAGTGGGTTAAGTGCATTGAGCTGCTATGTGAGAAGCTGGCAGTTTGACCCCAGCAGCAGCTCCGAGGGAGAAAGATGAACCAGTCTGTTTCCCTAGACTTACAGCCTGGAAACCCTGGGGGA